TGTACATTTTTAAAAACTTAACAATAAATCAAGAAAAACAGAATTTGGACAAGCAAAATTAAGCAGAAACAACAAAAGATCCTAGAGAAAGAAAAGCTACATTGCATCATATTTTTGCTAATTACATTGTTTATAAAATATAAACACATAATGTTGAAAGCTTCAAATCACTTTGAACAACAACCCAAAAGAAAGAGAAAAAGAATATCACACTAGTGTTCACAGGCAGGTGGTAGCTTTGGAACTGTGATCAACATCACTATCCCACCAAACTATTTTCAACCCCAGGAGACTAAGAGTTTAGGTATAGCAGTAAAACATAATTATGATCACTGCCATTACTCAAGAATTTACAGTTTAATTCAAACATTTATTAATTACTGTATATGAGGCAGTATGTTAAGTACTAGGCATACAAGGGTGGCCTTTGATAAGGACAAGCTTCTAAATGAAAGGAGTAAGGGGGACAAAAAGCAAACATTGTAACAAAATACCATACACACTGAACAAAGGTAAACAAAGCATATTGCTAAGTATGGAGGAAAGAGGCCCTAACTTTAGTCATCCTAGATCCCATAAGGAAATCAGACCCAAACCAGGTCTTGAGAATAAAGCAAGATATCATCCAGATATTGGCAGAGCCTTTCAGGCAAATGTGGCATTTGCAATGACTCGATAAGAACACTAGAAAGTTCTGTGCAACTGTGATGAAAAGCGTCTACAGACCGCTGAAACTAGTCGTTAAAGTAGAAGCCATTTACTAATGTCTCTTATGCTTCAAACTGGATCCTCTGGGCAAGGACTGACACTGCTATTTTAGAAAAGTAGTTTTCATATTTTGTTTGATCTTTATAACCGATTCCATTCTAATGATGATACAGTAAAATATTCTGTCCCAATGACACTGTTTATAAGTAGCAAAACTTGAGCTTGAATTACTGTACCTCCAAATTTCTTACTCTAACCTCTTCACTACAAACTCTTCATTACAGCGAAATTAATCTTCATTTTACTGCCTTCACATATGATGCAATTTCTGTCTCTGCAAAGTAGGTGCTAAAGATCTATGAGATGCTATTTTGCAGCTACCATATTGGTTTTAATACAACTGTGGATTCAATCTGAATGTCCCCAGAGGCTCCTACTTCGATCACTTGGTCCCAGCAGTAGTGTTTTTTTTAGAAGGCTGTAGAACCTGTAGGAAGTGGGGCCTACCTGATGGAAGTAGGTCCACTGGGAAGTGCATTTCAGGGTTAAACTCAGCTACTGCCTCCAGCACGCGCTCTGCTTTTGGGTCCACTACAATATGTGCAACAGGGCCACAAACATCTGCTATGAACTGAGCCTCTCTCCTACGCCTTCCCCCATGGTGAAGGCAAAGTCCATGAGCTATGAGCCAAATAAGTCTTTTCACCCTTATGTTATTTCTGTGGGTATTCTGTCAGGGACAGTCTAATACAGAGACAAAGAGTAGGTTCTACTGGTAATGCTGAGAAACAGGTCCTCTCACGCATTGCTGGGGTGACAAAAAGTATAGTACAATTTCTACGTAAAAGTTTAAAAGTATCAATGAAAGCATTTTCCTTATTTGAACATTTGGATTTCATTTCAAAAACGTATTAGTAGAAGTATGAAAATACAGGGGTGGCACTTTTTATAAGCAAATGTTCATCAGTAAGTACTGAGTGAAGAAATGCTAACTACCTAATCCAATGTAGCTCTAAAAACCAAAGACATCATACCCATTAGTGATGGAGGAAGGTCACTGGCTAATAAAGGAACTGCCCTGGCCCATTTTATTGGTTAGAGGATAGGTGGGAGGAGTAGACAGAACAGAACGCTGGGAGGAAGAGGAAGTGAGGTCAGAGTCTCGACAGCTATGCTCTCGGGAGCAGACGCCTGAGAGAGACGCCATGCCCGAAGCTCTGACCCAGGATGGACTAGGCTAGAATCTCCCCGGTAAGCGCACCTTGGGGTGCTACACACAGATGATTAGGAATGGGCTAAATTAATATGTGAGAATTAGCCTAGAAGAGAATGGGCCAAGCAGTGTTTAAAAGAATACAGTGTCCGTGTAATTATTTCGGGGCATAAGCTAGCCATGTGGGCGGCCGGGTGTGGGGGACGCAGCCCTGCCACCCCATATTACTACACATTAGAGTAGAATAACTATTATAAAATTTTTTAAAGAGGAAGAAGGTGATGGTAGGCAAGGAGATATTTAGGAATCCTTGTGTATTACTTTGAGTCTGAAACAGCACAGCCACTGCACTTGAAGACAGTACCGCAGTTCCTTAAAACATTAAATGGTTTGGTACATTTTTCTAGCAGCTTAAGTCCCAGTCTGATCTCCAGCACTAGAAAAAAAATTATTTTTTAAACACAGAATTACTGAGTTGAGAGATGGCTATGAGCATGATGTAGTTTCTGCTACGTTTTCAAGTCTTTTGCTATTACATGAAATTCACGCTCTCCAACTGTGTCTGATGACTCTGTCAGTGGCATCTCTGTCCTGCCATGACGACTGTGCAGTATGCAGCTTTCTCAGGGTTCCGTCAAATCTCTGAAGCCTTTTCTTAGAAACTACTTCCCACGTATGGACCCTTCCTAGGCTGTCAGATATTGGAAGAGGCAAACCTACTGACAATAAACTATATGGATTATGTGGGCACATTTGAGCAGAAGGCAGAGAAAACCTGCCATGCCATCATTCTGAATGTTCCACGAACATGCAAAGAATGATACAAGTTCATCTGGGCCATCTGCACTTTCCTAGTGACTCTAGACAATTTAGAAACAGAATCTGGAATAGAATTAAAATCTGTACACCATGCATTGTGCAGCAACTTACAAATCTCTCATTTAATCCTAACAAGCCCGTCTAGGTTTTTCATTATTGTTACTTTGAATAAGAAAACAAGATGTAGGAATGTTAGGTGATCTGTCCAAAGTCTTACACATACTGCATGACAGAGTCAAAAGCTGAACCTAAGTATGAGCATCTTTATGACTTGCTTCTTGCTTCCAAAGAAGTGATGACTTTACAGTGATATAGGACACTTCTAGTTGAGTCTTCAGCACACAGCAAAGACTATTACAACTGTCATGCCAGCAGACAATATCCCCTTTCATATATCCTAGTCTCATGGTCTAAGACAAATCTTTCTCTTTATTAGAAAGACCATGAAGGGAAGAGCAGAAAATATTTTGTTCAATCTCTATAGCATCATCAAATATTCGGAAAATACAACATGCTGATATACTTTGAAATCTATGAATAATGATCTTTCTAGAAATTTACCAGATTGAAACAATGAATGTGTTTTGCTATAAAATGCAGAACTCCAAATGCAGATTCTGAAAGCACTGTCAAACTGATTAAAATATAAGTTGTCCAAATTATATTACATGACCATGTTAATATAAGAATATGGATAACCAGGATGTGGGGGTGCATAATTTTAACCCCAGAACTCAGGAGGCAGATGGAGCTGATCTAGATAGCAAATTCCAGGCCAGACAGGACTACATAGTGAGACACTGTCTCAAATAAATGAGTAGGAAAAACCATCACTTGTAGAGTGTTTGCTATGTACTAAGCACTCTATAGGTATATTTTAATTTTGTACTATGAAAGATTAGCCTTCTTTTATTGTGTGTGTGGTTTTTTTTTGTTGTTGTTGTTTTTTTTTTTTAAGCAGGGTTATACACAGCCCAGGCTGGGTGCTACCTCATCCTTTAAAGGAGAACTGTTATGAATACCTGATCCTCCCTCCTCTATCTTCCAAGTGCTGGGAGGATAGGCTTGTACCACCACCATACCTGCTGGTGGTGTTATAAGAATCAAAAGAACTAGGGTGGCAAAGTTCACACCAGTTGCCAGTGACACTGCTAGAGTTCCAATGCTGGGTCCAGCTCCAAAGCCCATACTCCTAATCAGACTGTTTGCTGTCTCTCCATTTCTATCTAGTAAATATATATTTGTTCTCAAATCTAAGACCATCACACAGACAGACACATTTAAACCTAGGAACAACATAGTTTCTGAGGCAAATATATTAAGAAGTACCTGAAGAATTATCATAAGAAAAATTCAAGTAAGGCAACACACATTCAAAAAATTCTGAACCATCAAGAACAGAATTCACATAACAAAACCTTTCTCATTGCCTGAAAGGTATTCTTAAATTGATGTGTACCCGACATTACCAGGAAATCATCTCAATATTAAACAAAATAAACAAAACACTGTGAACCTAAAGAAAAGTTCAGTCTTAAAAAAATACATTATATTCCATACTCAGCTAATGTGGTGTTTTGAATAGGTACGGCCCCCATAGACTCATTTGTTTGAATGCATGACCTAGAGAGAGTGACACTGTTAGGAGTTGTAGCTTGTTGGAGGTGTGTCACTGTGAGGGCAGGCTTTAAGGTCTCATATGCTCAAGGCATAGCCAGAGTGGGACATAGTCCACTTCCTGTTGCCAGCTGATCAAGATGTAGAATTCCCAGCTCCTTCTCCAGTGCTATGTCTGCCTGCATGCTACCATGCTTCTCACCATGATGATGGACTAAACCTTTGAACTATAAGCCAGTCACAATTAAATGTTTTCCTGTGGTCATTGTGTTTCTTCACAGCAATACAAACCCTAAGACAGCTACTGAAATATATGTAATATTTTTCACACTCTGCTATTTATAGAGTTATTTATTATTTAAAAAAAGAAATATAATCTTTGAAGAGGTATCATCGCATGTTTCAGTGTTTCAAATTCCTTTGTAAAAACATATCTAAAAAGAAACTCAAGAGTAGAATTTCTCCAAACACAAATTATTCAATCTATTATAGTATGAGCCAATCCATATAAAATTTCAAACATATAAGATATAATTAAAAAGAGCAATCTTTTCCTATTATTTATATCAAACAGATTAGGTGGGTCATCAGGGCACTGTAGATTATTTTCTGGAATGTCAAACAGTAGTAGCTCAAGTCTTACCTCCATTGCTAAAGCTGCTGTCTGTTGGTCATAATGGTTCAGAAGATTAGGCATGAAGGTAGTATTATAAGGCAAATCTTGGCACATCCTCAAGGTAATAGGTTCACAAGAAAATAAACTGTGCCCACCTATATGTCCCACAAACACAGTCAAGAGCCAAAGATAAAAGACAACCCAACTCATAGCCATTCTTCCTGGATCTGAATGAGACTTGGATGATCAGATCCACTCAAGATGTGTTTTTGACCAGTGTATGCTTGCAGGTCTCAGCTTGAAAGCACCCCTCTGTATCTGTTAGGTTCTTCAAACAGTTAAAAACTCCTTGTACTGTCAGAGGTTTGTTAACCTGGTCTCACAAAAGGCATTTGTTTTTGGTTTCACAATATTGGAAAATGACATCATCTTGTATCTTCTTTTCATTTTATTACATAGGGCACATCTGGCCAGCATATCAAGTTGATCAACCACATTCCCAAATCACAGATTCCATCTTAGGAGGAGAGTGATTTCTTCCTTGTTAAAATATCTGAAAAGTATTGAAAATGGGAAAGTTAATCACTTCTCAAAATACTACAGACTTGACATTAAAATATTTGATAAGACATCAAACTGATCTAATAAAGAAAATACAGGTGTATTCACAAAGTAACAGTTTTTTCTATCATATGATATATTCACTAAAAATATTTTCAAATAACACTTAAAAGCTAATTTTATAACCTCAGTTGTATATTTAACACATTGATGGAGGAAGGTCATTGGCTAATAAAGAAACTGCCTTGGCCCATTTTATTGGTTAGAACATAGATGGGTAGAGTAAACAGAACACAATGCTGGGAGGAAGAGGAAGTGAGCTCAGACTCGATAGCTCTGCTCTCTGAGGCACATGCGATGAAGCTCCGACCCAGGATGGACATAGGCTAGAATTTTCCTGGTAAGACTGACGCTACACAAATTATTAGAGATGGGTTGATCGGGATATGAGAATTAGCCTGTAAGGGCTAGAGTTAATGGGCCAAGCAGTGTTTAAAAGAATACAGTGTCCATGTAATTATTTCAGGGCATAAGCTAGCAGGCGGCCAGGGTGCTGGGGCGCAGCCCTGCTGCTCCTATCACAACACATGTTGGAGAATTCTGTCACAAGATATAATTGCTCTATTTTGAATATTTTTTCCTTTGCTCCAAACTGTGTTTAAATGATATTTGTTGTAAACTAGATTGTAGAATTTCAAAGTTATTATATGTGTTTTGGTTGCTAGCAGTACATTTCTATATTAACTGACTTGGTAGAAAGTAGCTGTGAAAGGTCTGGGAGGAGATTAAACCTCTTATTAATTCAACATTGTAAACACTGTCAATTAACCCATACTTTTTTCTGAAGATGATTTGAACATCACTTCTCAAACACAGGAATCTCTGGGTAAATTATGAGATAATGTATGTCAAAGAGTAGCATCAGCATTAGGAGTTTGGGGTACTGAATTGCAGTTGACAAGGCTACTCTATCAACCAATACTGAACTAAAAATAGATGGTTCTAAAAGTATCATCAGCCAGTTTTGCCAATGCTACATTATTTTAGATAGCAAAAAAAAAAATTAAGACCATATATATTGCCCTAGAATCTTAAATACATGACCAACAAATGGTCACCACAGAGCCTAACTGTGAAGACAAGCCAGAGTAGGGTAAGGAATGATTCCAAATTACCACTTCCACTGAGTTACCTAACTCCCCTGAAGAGAGACACATTGCCTAAGGACTACCTCCTAAGGACTACCCATAGTTACAGTGTCCTATACATCAGGTCTTGAGAAATGCTATGATAAAAAAGAACAATTAAAAGAAAAGGCATGGGGGGGCTGGAGAGACGGCTCAGGTTAAGAGCACTGGCTGCTCTTCCAGAGGTCCTGAGTTCAATTCCCAGCAACCACATGGTGGCTCACAACCATCTGTAATGAGGTCTGGCGCCCTCTTCTCGCATGCAGGCACACATGCAGGCTGAATATTTTTTTAAAAAAGCATGTTTATATATAATAATCTACTTAAAACTAATTTAATAAGTGGATATAAAGAATAACAAATAGGGCTAAAGAGATGGCTCAGGGCTTAAGAGCACTTGTTGCTCTTGCAGAAGACTCGTTTGGGTCCCAGCACCCACATGGTAGTTCACAACTATCCATAACCTCAGTTCCTTGGGATCCAATGCCCTCTTCTGAAGGCACCAGGCATGCACACGGCACACAGACATACATGCAGGCAATCACTCACACACATAAACTAAAAAACATTTTTAAAAAGAGTAACAGAAAACATTCCAAAGAACAAAAGAAGTACAAAAGGCCAACAAACACAAGATGTGATATTTAGCTTCACTTAAAAACTGCAAATAAAAAAGACAAACATAATACTTTTGCCAATCAAATGTTCAAAAATAACAATGATGCCAGGCGGTAGTGGCGCACGCCTTTAATTCCAGCACTTGAGAGGCAGAGGCATGTGGATCTCTGTGAATTTGAGGCCAAACTACAGAGTTAGCTCCATGGCAGCTAGGGATGTTATACAGAGAAACTGTGTCTTGAAAAAAAAAAACAACAAACAAACAAAATACAGTAACAGAACAAAGTGTGACATGTATTACAGGGAAAGGTTATTTTCAACATTTTGAAATACTTTGGATAAGAATGTAAACTAATTGATACTTTTAAAAGAAATGGCTACTTATGAGGCTAGAGAGATGGCTCAGTGGTTAAAAGTACATGCTGTGGGGACCATAGAAGAGGGTAGAAGGGAAGGGGAGAAGGAGGAAGGGGAGCAGAAAAAAAATGTATAGCTCAATAATATCAACAAAAAAATAAAAAAAGAAGTTTAAGAAAAGTACATGCTGTTCTTCCAAAGGATATCAGTTCAATTTCCAGCACCTGCAAGTGGCTCACAACCACTTGTAACTCCAGTTCCAGGGGATTCAAGACTCTCTTCTATCTTCTGTAGGACTGCAGGCACATGGTACACATATGTACATACAGGCAAAACACCCATACACATAAAATAAAGGTCATTTTTAATGGCTATTTATACCAAAATCCCTTAAATGCACATATAATTTGATCCACCAAACCTATTCATAATTTGTTTCAGAAGCATACAAGTGCATATGGCATATAACTGAAACATTAGCATAGGTAATTTATAACAATTTAAAAAAACTGAAAATAACCTTAAAAATTATCAATAGGGATTTTGCTAAATAATGTATAAATACATGATGGAATATTATATAGACACTGAAAATGATGACCATGACTTAAAGCATACCACAGTGGTTATGTATACTTAGCATACACAATGCCTTGTGTTCAATCCCCAGCACTGGCCCTTCCTCCCAAAAGATGAACATGAATTATATTTACTGGCATAATAACATAACAATGATAAGCAAAACAATTATGACTGGCAAAATGGCTCCGTAGTTTAAGTGCCTGTTTTTCATGAAGATCTGAGCTTAAATTTCCAGAACCCACATAAAGCACATACAATATACAATAGCACATATCTGTAATCCCAGCATGCCTACAGGGAGATGGGAGGCATATAGGAGGAGAAAGGAGACTCCTTGGAAGTCTGAGAGCCAGCTGGCCTGGCATATACAACAGTAAGCAGAAGACTGCCTTAAACAATGGAGGGCAAAAACTGACATCCAAAGTTGTCCTGATGGCCACACATGCACCACTACATGAGTACTCTTATACTCACACATGTAAACACACATATACACAAAATCTTTTTTTTTTTTTGAGGTAGGGTCTCACTATGTAACCCTAGCAAGCTTTGAATTCACAGAACTCCACCTGCCTGTGCTTCCCATGGACTGGAATTAAAGGCCTCTGGCAACACATACAACCTAACACAAAGATGTTTTTTATATCAGTAAAGAAAACACTATGCATATATAACTCACTTCTGTCAGAAAAGCATATATTCAAAAAACAAAAAACCCACAGATATTTCAATTAGATGTGGTGGTTCACACCTATAATCCCAGAACTCAGTAAAAGGATTTTAAATGGAGAACACTCTGGGCTACATGGTTAAGTTCATCTTAAAGGGGAGGGGCATTATTAAAAATAATAAGTGCTCTATGGAATTTTATGAAAGACCTGATTTTACAGGTCTTTATATAAGGCAAGTAATTCCTCAAATCTACCAATGTGTACTGACTGGCAGACAAGAACAAATACTACTTGAACAGTTTATTGGCTGGTAATTAAAGCACCAAGTCAAGAGATACACCACTTGTATTTCTGCACATAGTAGGAAAAGCAAAGTGATAATTTAGTATGATTTAAATGGATTTTTCACGTCAGGCAGACAGCTCAGCTCATCAGGTAAAAGCACTTACCACTGGGCCTGGTTGACAGACGTTAAATCCCCAGAACCCATAGGACAGGGTGAACTAATTCTTAAAATTATCATCTGATCTCCACATGCATGTTGTAGTACACATATGCACACACACACTCGCGCGCGCGCATACATACAACACACACCACCAAACAAAACAAAACTTGTTTTTTAACACAAATAATTCAGGTTCCCTGTTACCACAATCAAATGTTGTGTGCACTTTAAAGTACATTGTATACATGCCACATCACCCTCCAACAGTGGATTACCTATACATGGGGGCATGCACAGGAACATGCACATGGGGACTAGAGGTCAATCTCTGGTGTCTTTCTCAGCACCGCCCACATTGTTTTGCTGAGATAACCAGGTCTCTCATCAAGGGCTCTCTGATTCAGCCCGGCTGTCTGGAGAGTCAGTCTCAAGAATCCACCTGTCTTTGGAGCTGGGATTACATGCGTGCACCCTACAGAGGCAATCTCTTTTATGTATGTTCCAGGGATCAGGCCTCATATATACATGGCAAGTACTTTACTGATTGAGCCATTTCCATAGCCTCTGAAATACCTGTTTCTAATCAGAATCATGAGAATGTGCCATTATTCTCAAGGTAGGCTCATCCATGGAAAAGCTCTAAGCTGAAGTTTCAGACCTGCAGCAAACAGGTGATCATGAACTCAAAAAGAGCTTGACAAAATACAGAAACCCATTAAATAAAGGTTAACAGTTGTTTGAAGCATATTTTGGGGGTGGGCAGGAATCTATAGCCCTGCAACAGAATAAAGGAGCCTAGTGAGCTAACAGAAGGAGTAAGCAGTTTTGGGCTCCATGGTCCAAGCAAAAATGAATGCCATGACGTTCATGCACTTCTGTAAGGCAAGAAATGTACTATGCTCTCCACAGAGCAACAGAAAATAGTTGGAAAATTGACTGTAAATGCTTGGTAACATTCTAGACTAGGGCTAGTCAAGGTTATCATCCAACTTCTGACCCTACTGCCCCTCTCTCTCAAGTGCTGGGATTACAGGTATGCGTCATAGTGCCCACCACCTACCACTCTAACTTTTAAATTTCTTTCTGCCATTTACTAATTACAACAAGTATTCTTTTTTTTAAGCCTCTACATTTTATTTTTATTTATTTATTTATTAAGGATTTCTGCCTCCTCCCCGCAACCACCTCCCATTTCCCTCTCCCTCCCCCGATCAAGTCCCCCTCCCTCATCTGCTCGAAGAGCAATCAGGGTTCCCTGACCTGTGGGAAGCCCAAGGACTGCCCACCTCCATCCAGGTCTCGTAAGATGAGCATCCAAACTGCCTAGGCTCCCACAAAGCCAGTACGTGCAGTAGGATCAAAAACCCACTGCGAGGGCTGGAGAGATGGCTCAGAGGTTAAGAGCATTGCCTGCTCTTCCAAAGGTCCTGAGTTCAATTCCCAGCAACCACATGGTGGCTCACAACCATCTGTAATGAGGTCTTGTGCCCTCTTCTGGCCTTTGGGCATACAGACAGAATATTGTATACATAATAAATAAATAAATATTAAAAAAAAAAAAACCCACTGCGATTGTTCTTGAGTTCTCAGTATTCCTCATTGTCCGCTATGTTCAGCTAGTCCGGATTTATCCCATGCTTTTTCAGACCTAGGCCAGCTGGCCTTGGTGAGTTCCCGATAGAACATCCCCATTGTCTCAGTGTGTGGGTGCACCCCTCGTGGTCCTGAGTTCCTTGCTCGTGCTCCGTCTCCTTCTGCTCCTGATTTGGACCTTGAGATTTCTGTCCGGTGCTCCCATGTGGGTCTCTGTCTCTGTCTCCTTTCATCGCCTGATGAAGGTTAATATTCATGAGGATGCCTATGTGTTTGTCTTTGGATTCACCTTCTTATTTAGCTTCTCTAGGAACATGAATTATAAGCTCAATGTCCTTTATTTATGGCTAGAAACCAAATATGAGTGAGTACATCCCATGTTCCTCTTTTTGGGTCTGGCTTACCTCACTCAGGATAGTGTTTTCTATTTCCATCCATTTGTATGCAAAATTCAAGAAGTCCTTGTTTTTTACAGCTGAGTAATATTCTAATATGTATATATTCCATACTTTCTTCATCCATTCTTCCGTTGAAGGGCATCTAGGTTGTTTCCAGGTTCTGGCTATTACAAACAATGCTGCCATGAACATACACTGTCACTAAGACAAAAAGGCAACCCACTGACTGGGAGAAGATCTTCACCAACCCCACAACTGACAAAGGTCTGATCTCCAAAATATATAAAGAACTCAAGAAACTAGACCGCAAAAGGCTAATCAACCCAATTATAAAATGGGGCACTGAGCTGAACAGAGAATTCTCAACAGAAGAACTTCAAATGGCCAAAAGACACTTAAGGTCATGCTCAACTTCCTTAGCGATCAGGGAAATGCAAATCAAGACAACTTTAAGATACCATCTTACACCTGTCAGAATGGCTAAAATAAAAAAACACCAATGATAGCCTTTGCTGGAGAGGTTGTGGAGAAAGGGGTACACTCACCCATTGCTGGTGGGAATGCAAACTTGTGCAACCACTCTGGAAAGCAGTGTTTCGGTTTCTCAGGAAATTCGGGATCAACCTACCTCTGGATCCAGCAATACCACTCTTGAGAATATACCCAAGAGAGGCCCTATCATACAACAAAAGTATATGCTCAACTATGTACAACAAGTATTCTAATCTATTAATGTGCTGAGTGGTATTGCTTAAAGAAATAAACCAAAAAGTACTTCTCGATGCAGAATCAAAAGGAATGGTAGGCATCAAATTTCAGTCAGATTTACAAATTACTGAATTCTGAAACTAAGAGAAGCAAAGAATCTTTCAAAAATAACCTGTAAAACTGAAAGTTCAAAGACAGATCTGCTTGCTTGCTTCCCAGGCCCCCATCCCAGTAGAAACTGGGCCGAGAGTCCTGCAGGTGCCAGTCAAGCACTACCAGCCGAGCTGTATTCCCAGTCCTGAAGATGGACAGATTCTGGCAAAAGGTAAGTAAAATAAGTAAAGGTGAAATTCCAACCAGCTTCCCTTTCCAATTAAAGTCTGTTCATCAAAACAACAACAACAAAAACAAAACGCTGAACTTCTGTGAGGAAACAGCAAGTCCCCGTGTTTTCCCCCTTAACAAGATCGTATGCTTCATAAGCTTTGACTAAAGTATTATTCTGAGACGTAATTAGGGGGAGACTGGAATGTGTTAAGCTCATTCCCTGAGTTACAGTCTTCAAAAGCTTCATTTACTGTGCATTACCTCGGTTCACCAAAGCCAGTGGTTCCCAGGATGATAAACCGGAAAGGAAAGAAAGTCCTTTTCGGACACAAGCTAAGTCTTTGGGAGCCAATGAAGAGTTGCTGCACCTAGCCTTACAAAAACACCATCACTGAAAACTCATTTTCCTTCATCAGAATCTTACTGTATCTGCCCAACCTCTACTGAGTGAAAAAGAAGGTAACAATGTACTGAGAACTGTTGCCTACCACCTGACTCCTCAGAAAAATAGCGTCCACAGAAGCATCAATATACTAATACACTCAGGTTTTTATTTGTTTGTTGGAGACAAGGTCTCTTTATGTAGTCCTGGATGTCCTGGAACTTGCTATGGAAACCAGGCTAGCCTCAAACTCACAGAGATGCTCCTGCCTCTGTCTTCCAAGCACTAGGGATGAAGGTGTGCGCCACCACACCTGATCTCACACTCGGAAGTTTAATGTACAAAATCATCGCAGAGTTTTAGCAGCAAACTAATATAAAACATAAGTTGGGTGGATTCCCAAACCCCAGAGGTAAACCTGGGAAACAAACAATCTTTTGTAAGCCAAAAACAAAACAAACAAAACACACACGCACACACACACACAAACCTCCACTCATCTTAGATGATAAAGGTTTCATGCTGTACTATACAAAGAATGTGCACATCACTATTAAGTTTCTCTCAGCCTTTCTACTTCAAATATCTCAAGCATGAAACTCCCAAGAAAAATTAACCTGAATACCCAAAACAGAAAATAAAGTTCAAAGAAATATGGAGAAAGAATAAAAGGGACAAGGACGCCAGAGTCCCTTTTTTTATTATTATTATTAATGGAAACCGGTTAGCTTCCTAGGAGATGAGGCACACACTACCACCAGATTTGGCGGGGGGGGGGGGGGAGTAAGATGAAATAGAATAATAGACTTTATTTTTAAAAAAAACCTATTTTCCTAAGAGTTTCAAAGCACTTGGGAGCAGAGTGCAACACTACACATTGTTTTACTAAGTCCAGCGAAGCATGGAATTTGCTGCAACTGGGTTACTGGGTTACAGTGTATTTTCCTTTTTATCCTTCCAAATAGTTACACTTCTTTCATTGGCTCCTTAACTCTGAATCTTTTTACCTTATGTTGTCTGTGGTTTGATACAGTTCAAGTCAATGTGTTCTGTTTCCCAGGGGGGCAGAGGATATTGATTTGCTTCAAAGTTGGCTTGGGAAGCATTGTCTAGAGATCTCCCCACCTTTCTTTCTGAGAAAAGGGGTTCACTATGTAGCTAAGCTATTCTGTCCTAGAGCTTGCTGCGGTGACCCTCCTGCTTCAGTTCCCGATTGCTGGAATTACCGGCATGAGCCATCATGCATGACTTCTTAATACAGAGCTCAGGGTGTATCCAGTCCTCTCTTAGCCCACTATGCCACCAACACACCACCGAGGACCAAAGAAGGCTGAGGAGGGAGGTCACATCCTGAAGCCCAGCTGGGTCTTTGTTTCCTTGCTCTCATGGACTGGCTTTACAAAGTAACCCAATTCCCATCAACAAACATTCCAGATGTACTAAAAGGACTTTTCTACGGGGAGATTTTGAGCTGGTGTGTCTGTTCGGCAGCCTGAGAAATTCAGAAGGATGCTAAAAATTCCCATGTTTCCTTTACACCGGGCGAAAACCGGAGACCTCTCGGGTCTTGGCATTTTTCAACTTTAAGTCTCTTCTGCCTAATTAACGGCATGCGCTTTTGTTCTTTTTCTACCCACAAAAGGGAAGGGAAAGGATAAGAAAAGGGGAGGAGAAAAGATAAACGGGGGGGGGGGGGGGCTCTTCTCTTTCCTTGGGGAAGCCTACCTCCAAGAGTCCCAAGATAGAAGACGCCTATGGGATGTTTACAGTCTTAACGTCACCCTCATCTCAGCGCCTTTATTCCAGAGGCCACCAACTGCTCATCATCCAGCCGTGGCATCCCCGGGCAAATCCGGCGACCCCGAGTCACCACCACCGGGGCAGCCGGGGAGTGCGCGGAGAAGGGAGCCGCCGACTTTGCAAAGTGATGGGCAGCACGGGGACAACTTTTGGGCGTTGGGTGGCAGGGGTCGGCCGGGGGCTGCTGGAAAGCAAGCGAGCAGCGGCGCCAGAGCCTGGCGCATCGTCCTCCCGCCCACGCCCCCGCGTCGCCGAGCACAGAAACCGGCTCGGGCCGGCCTCGTTCCCTGCAGGCGGCCGGCGCGGGGGACCCTCCGCGTCCACACTCGCACAGGTTGCCCGGCGCGGGCGGGACATACCGGCCCCGCCACCTTCCCGGGGCATCCCCACCCGGCACGGCTGCGGCCCCGAACTCCGCGCCGCCCACTCCGACCCCGCTCGGGCCCGGCACCTCGCCAGCCGCCGCTCCGCGCCCGCCTCAGCAGCGCCGTCCTCGGGCTTTTGTTCGGCCGCGACGCGAGCGGCGAGCGCCGCCTGACGAGGGGCGGCTGGGCTAGGGCGGGCGCCTCAACGCTCTCCGCACGCTCCGCTCTCCTCCCGTCCTCCCGGCTGCGGAGGAAGCGTCGGCCGCGGGACTCACCTCCCCGGCGGCCTCCGGCTTCTCCCCGGCTGCACCGCTGGCCCCGCAGGCGGCCGCGCGTCCCTCAGGTCCCCCGAGCGGCTGAAGACCGCCGGCGCGCCGAGCCTTGGCGAGCGTCGGGGCGCGCGGCCCGGGGAGGGAGGTGCGCGCGCACGTGCCGCGCATGCGCGCTGCACCAAGTCTCCCAGCCGGAGCCTAGCTGTGCGGGGTTGACCCGCGCTTCGTTGTTCTCTGCTTGGCGTCCTAGGTGCTGGTGACGCCTTGAGCTGCCGCGCGTCGGCTTAGTGGTTCCCAGCGCTGGAGGCGTTCATCTGAAATGTGCCGGCTCCTCCTTGCAAGGCCCTCCCTAGCCAAGCTCTCGGTGCGGGTCCTCCAACACCTGCTCTGAGAACCAGTGTGTCAATTTCGGGATCTCGGGGATCCGTCTGGGAGCGATCACCCGTGGCGGAGGGTAGGACCGTGTACAAGTAGCAAGGGACACCCGGCCTGTTGCAACGCTGCACAATGACCCGCGAAGCAGGTGCACGTTGTGCGTCCTCTCCAACAAGACCTTATAAACAGATGGAGCTTATGCTTACTGGCGGCGTGCCTCATCTTCCCTTTAGAAAAGGCTTCCCTCTTCGTTTGCTACATTCACGACTTGAGAGCGGAAAGATTCTTTAAAGGTCATCTAAATACATTTTCCCCCCACAGGGGAGAAGAACGCTCAGAGGGGTTGGATGTCTTATTTTAAAGCCACACAGCGTTTTAATAAAAGTGTCTGGGTCTAATCAATCGCGATTGTTTTCTCTTTGCCTTTCTTTCTTTTTGTCCATCTTCAACTTAGAGTTCATGGCATCATTGTTCTCTTGGTAGCTCACAGGACTGTCAGCAACACTGGTCCTGTTGCAAGGGAGTGTGCTTAGCCCTGCTGACCTGTATGCTCACAAACGGTTACGATGGTAACATATGGGCTAGAGGGATAGTTCTGTTGGTAAAGCGCTTGCTGTACAAACAGAAGAACCTGAGCCACACACACACCCCAACCTCCCAAAATCGAATCCTGATAGCAGGCACTTGTGATCCCAGTGCTGGGGAAGCAGAGACAGAGAATCCTTAATCTTGGGTCTAGCTGGTCACTCGGTCTAGCCTATTCGGTGAATCCCCAGTCCAGTGAGAGATTTGTCTCAAAAAACAAGGTGAAGAGCAACCGATGAACATACCTGTGGTTGACCTCCGGCCTATAGGTACACACACACACACAAAGAGAGACAGAGAGACATATATAATAATCTTTAAAAGATTCTTTTTTTTAATATTTATTTATTTATTATGTATACAATATTCTTTCTGCGTGTATGCCTGAAGGCCAGAAGAGGGCACCAGACCTCATTTCAGATGGTTGTGAGCCACCATGTGGTTGCTGGGAATTGAACTCAAGACCTTTGGAAGAGCAGGCAATGCTCTTAACCGCTGAGCCATCTCTCCAGCCCCCTCTTTAAAAGATTCTTAAATGACATAGTGAATACTGAAGTCTTGTGCTCCGACATACTCTCACATCAAGAGGTGGCCTTGATGAACCAGCATGATAAATGAAACCGGAAACAACAGTTTCCTTATTCCTTATTGACACTTATGCAGTCACATTTCAGGACAGTAACACTGACTCTTAGGGCCATTCCAGGCAAGTCGGGGTGTCGTGGGGAGCCAGTGGTGTCACTCGATGAGCGTGAGTAAAGAAGCAGGTAGCATATGGGGGAAACCTTGTGCCGGCTTTATGTATTGCCCAGCCCCATAGCTAAAGCACTGGAAATGTGCTCCCAGGAGCTTTCCTAGTCAATGGACACATCGTCCTGTAGAAGCAGACACAGGCCACACTACTGCTCACACCAGGACACAGTGACACAGACACAATCGCAAATGTATCAACTTGACTGAGTTCCTTAAATGCAATACTTAGCAGAGAATAAGACTACAATACATGTAAGTGGCAGTGTGTCTTTTAAAAAGCGGCAAGAATACATTGCTTATAAGAGTGAACACATGAAAATATCATAAAGGAACAAGATGGCTGAACACTCATTCCATAGCAAGGTGACGAATGGCTTTCTAGACATAGGGAAGACAATGGGATCTGTATGCAGAAAGAGCTACTACGTGTCTGGTAAACATACACAGTCATACACACACACAGAGAGAGAGCCAACAGTAACATTTTGAAATGTCTTTTGGAGATACAGGTATTATGAAAGTCTCTAAGCTTTTGTGTCTGATACGTTCCACACAAAAGTAACGTCAATATATCACAGACACTGGGCTATGTATGCATGCTCCCTTGGAACACAGTGGGAATGGGGTGACTCACAAGGAACACAGTAGGCATGGGGTGACTCATTCCCCTTTGGGGGAGCAGTCAAGATGGAGAAATTGTAGGACAGGAGACCCAGAAGGCGCTGTTAAGAGCAGAGAAAGGGATCGTCTATCAGGAATACAAACATTCAGATTCCACAGGGATAACTCGAGATGCTGTCTGTGTCTCATCTCCCTCTTCCTTCCATGTCGTAACCACTAATAGAAAGCTTTTAACAAGCGGGAACTTCACAGAGAGACTCAGCCACCTGGGCATTGTTAAAACTGGTCCTTTTCTGGATGAACCCGTTTTTGAAGTCATAAATGTTAACTGGTAATGCATGGTAATTTAGTATGACATCTCTACCTGCCTCCCCCAGGCCACCCCCTCACATCCCCAAAGGCTTTGTTTATTCATTTACATACTAGCTGGTCATTTGGAAAAAAACCACTAGCTTGGAATCCAGACAACCTAGGTTCTAATTTCAGTTTGGCCACTTACTGATCCATTGTTAACTTAGGCAAAGCACGGACCTCCGTGAGGCCCACTTTCCTCTTTCCATTTAAATTGGAGACACACAAATGCTGACTACTTAAAAGTTATGAACCATAGGGTGCCATGATGGCTGAGAGGGCAAAGGCATTTGCCGCCAAGTCTGAGCCCTGGACCTACATGATGGGCAGAATAGATTCCCGAAAGTTGTTCCCTGACCCCCACACATGGCACACGCATGCCCACATGACAACGACACACACAAATAAATAAACGTAAATTTAAAACTACACTATTAGAAACAAAAATGATGAAGCATGTAGGGTTTGTAGGGCTGCTTAAGTTGTAGGAGAGTCCCTTGTTTTAGCAAGAAAGGCAGTGTGGGAAATTGTTATTTTTGTTTTTGGTTCATTTTTGGTTAGCCGATGCTCCTCAAAATTGCCTTGCACTGTGACTGCAGGCATGGAATTTTGAACTTCCTGGAATTCTCCAGAACTTACAATCACAGCTACAAGATCCCTGGGCTTTACGTTCATCATTTGCACATTTCCCTGCTCATTTTCTCTCATTAGATTTCTCCTGTGTTTTAGACAGGGGTTTGGAGCTCAGGCTAGTCTCGAACTCCCTATGTAGCCAAAGCTCTCCTAGGACCCCTGATCCTTTTGCCTCTCTATCTTCTGAGTGCTAGGATTGCAGGCTTGAGCCACCACACCCAGCTTCATATTTCTTTCTTTCTTTTTTTAATCCTTGCATTCTCTGGTTCTCACTACAAGGTGGGTGCTCAGTGCATTTAACTAATTAAATGTGACTGGATTTTAAAAACCCAAATTCAGAGTTATTCTTACAACGGCATGCCATCTGCTGGTTCCCTGGTGTATCTGTCACTCAGCTTGGGGCAGTGCCTCCACGACTCCCTTTTCCTCTGCAGGTGCTTTTCTGCCATCCAACCCGTTGCAAATTCTTGTTTCTTCCAATCCTCTTCCACCTTCTGGGCAGTCTTAAAACCTGTCACGACGATCCGACTGACCAGAATAACATAACTGGGCATGCTCCGTAGTGAAGGGCTGTTTTGGAATACAACCGTGGCAAGCCTTTAAGGAACGTTTTTCAAGGTTGCTGGTTTCAGGATTGGATACATTTTCCTGCTAGCATTCTATCAAGACATGACAGCTCCTCCCACTCACCCTACAGCCACACGTTCTCTCTCTCTCTCTTTTTTTTTTATCTCCGTGCCCAATTTTGGAGCCAACCCTCCTTGGATGCCCTGGCCAATCAAGAGACCACACATTGTTGCCTAAGAGACCCCGGATGCCAGCGACAAGATTTATAGATGGTGATTGGACTGCTGGGAGCAGTGAGGTGGGGGCTGGAAGGAAGCAAAGAAAACTGCCCTAGCGCAGCGATGGCAACCCCAGAGCCAGAGGCTTGAAGAAGGAGGCCGGCAGCTGAGGTGAGAGCAGTGGGCAGGGCAGGAAAAAGATGGAGATTCGGAGAGAGCTCCCTAACTTCCCACAAGCCTTTCCGGGGCTCTTGGGATTGCAGGCTGCTGCAGTTTCAGTGGTTGCTCCACACCTATGAAATTAACAACCACCAATTACGTGCAGGTCAAACATTAGCTTTAAAAGGCATGCATTACAGCGCTCACTCGGTTTTTAACTGGTTGGATATAAGGTAAATTCGCATTTAAACCTACCCCTCTTCTATTTCCTGAGAGTGTGTGAAATTCCCCGCGCCTGGCAACATTACAGTGTACTGTGGGTGAATTATGTGTTGGCAGAGAAACTCAATCCTCGTCTTCATTGTAGCCTCCAAAGGAAACCCTGACTGTCTTGAGTATTTTCTCTGTGCCGGGTCCATTATGCTCTGAGTTTTGGCGTGCAATCTCACAAGGTTTAATTCTCACACTGCCCCCACACCCCCTTCTCCACCATGACATTTCTTCCTTCCGTTGAGTAACAAATACTTATTGATCTATTATGTACCACAGCGATTGGAATTGAGATACGCAGTGTCAGAAGAACACACAAGCCCAGAAGGGTTTCATGCTACCGTCCTTACAGTGATCAGGCTGTCAGTGGATCTGGACAGAGTACAGGAAAAGACAGTTCCAGTGAGCCGACCCAGATTTCATGTTGAGGAGTTGGGGTCCCACAGCCATTAGTGAGATTCACAGGTTTTTTGTTGTTGTTTTGTTTTGTTTTTAATTAAACAGTGACCTCACTGACAGCACCTTAAAAAACAAACAAGCAAAAACTATTGGGTGTGGTAGCACAGGCCTTTTATCCTACCACAGGGGAGGGAAAGGCAGGTGAATCTTTGTGAATTTGAGGCCAACCTGGTCTACAGAGCAAGTTCC